GAATCAATACGTGTTCAACTTCATCCCATAGGTTTCCTCCAGGTGCTCCAGTTTCCCCTACCACTAAAACCATGTAGGTCCTTGTAGGCATGTGTCTCCTGTATGGCAACCCTGCTCCCAACGCTCTGTGGAGTGAAAGGAAAAATGCCCACAACAATTGTTAAGTGCTTTGTGACTCTGTCTGTCACTATAACAATAACGAATAAGGCAAAGCAGGTTTATTTGTTTAGCACATAAACATAGACATTGACAAGACAACTCAAAGTGCTGAACAAAACGAGGTAAAACAATAACACAAGGAAATTACTCACTAAGAAATAAATAAAGCATTCTATTTTTTTGGTGGCTACAGCTCGACTGTGACATTTTTCTTAGAACATACTTTTATTGACTTCACTGGATATGATGTACATGTTTTGTTTGTTTTTCTTAAGCTCTACAGCAACATTCAAGAGTATGGTAGTTTAACCCTAACTGCGGTCAGATGTGTGAACTGATAGCATTCTCTGTTAAACGGTGATAAGAGTCAGTGCAGGCGAGTAAATCTACTACTATAGAAACATGTCGGTCAAAAAATGCTCTATAAATATAATCACCAGATATAGTGTTGGGGAAAAACTATATGACGTAAATTAATTTAGGCTGTGAATCGTGAAATGACTGTTTACTTAATATCTTGTTTGTTTTGTTTATATTATAATTATTACACTTCTATACTTACATTCTAATGCTCAGTGATATTGTAGTTCAACAAAAGTTATACTGTTTTTTTTTTCTACTGTTATAGTAAAAAAAAAAAAAAAAAGGTTTAAATAATTATCATTTATTAGCACTTGATTTTCAGGCCGTGTGCCTCTTGATTGGCAGACACTCAGCTCCATAGTCTTCTGCTGATACTCGCTGGATCTGGGGGTTTACCCAACTGTCAGATGTACTTAGTGGATCCGTGTTTCACAGGGTGTGGGTTAAGGTTTAGAGAAAACAGGGGTCAGTCAGACTCTAAGGCTGCCCTTTGTCACCAGATATGTTCATTCTCTGGGTGAAGGAGACGGACCAGTGTAGAGTGTGCAGTGATGCGGTCGCTTTATCAAACTGTGGTGAAGAGTCAAAAGGCAAAACTCTCGATTTACCAACATTCCCACATCAATATACGGTCAAGAACTTTGAGAGGATTACAAGGTCCTGGGGAAAACCTGAGGATACTCTGAAGGGCTGGTTTCATGTGATCTACAGCCCTGTTTCTGTCAGCCCAACTCTACTCGACTCTACTCGACTCTACTCTGGTTGTGTTTACATTAATTACACTTTAGTATCTGGTACCAAATCCTAGCAACTATACCCACAACAAGCCAGTATCCAGGGAAATTCCTTGATAACCATGACTTCCACCAGAACTTTGACCCATCACTGGCATTTAGAACATTACAGTACCAGCTCAGTCTGGTTACAGCCAGGGCCAAGAAGATACTAAAAAAGTACCTGGTGCTGGTTAAACAGGGTCTGTGGAAACGCTCCCAATGGGGGTAGAGTAGAGCCAAGTAGAGTGGGGGCAATAGGGCTGGTGGAAAAGGCTTTATGGCTGATCAGAGTATCATTGACATCAACTGAGTTTTGGCAAACACTTTTATTTAACTTCATCACTGGACTTTCTATTAAAATGTATAGCACGTTTCATTTTTGATGTACTCAATAATAATGTAATGTCCCGATATATTACCAGTACAATAATGGGAAATGTGCATCAATGGGCTGAAGTGTGTGTATTCTTGTGCAATAGTCATTTTAGTGCAGTAGGAGGTGTGCAATAACAGGATATGTGCAATATGGTGTTTCTTGCCACACAATCACGTGATGCAATGCAATTTATTTCTCATTCAAAGGGAGACATTTGTTTGATGACATTTTTCAGAATCAGAATTTTTGCTTGTTCCATTGGCAATTTTTTTAGACAGTTTTTAGACATTAAAAATGTGTTCAAATAAGATATAAACACTTGATTTAAGCATTTATCTCAAGTGTAGCCATACCTGCATGTGAAAGCCAGATCCCATCCGATCTCTGAAACTGTGCTAGGCAGGGCCTGGTTAGTACTGAGATGGGAGACCTCTGGGAACACCAGGTGCCACAGTGGGGCGGCTGCAGCTTTAAAGTGGTAGATAAAGCTGATGGATTATAATCTTGTTTGATCGTCATTTGCTCTGTAAGCAATGACATGAAATAAAATGCCTCTGTGTAACTTATTTGGTACAGGAGCAGGTGATAATATTTAATCGTATTTAATATACACACAGTCAACGTTAATGACGTCATTTCAAAAGCATTGTTTTAAAATAAGCTATAATTTTATAGTAAGATCATTTTTAATATCTCAACATCACCATTATATTGTATAAAGACTAAAGCAATTACTATATAATTGTATATTGTATAATTGAGAAGAGTAATGATGGCAGCTGCAGGGACATGTCAGAGAGAGACACATGTGTTATAAATTGTCTACAAATGCTTGGAACTTGTCTCTTTTCACATATCCCCATAAATGTGTAAATCAATGTAGATCTATTTCAACCTAATGCAATAAGGAAATGGACCGAGTTTATGGTTTTTCCAGTGGACGCAGCCACAAGTTGATCGTGTGATGTAGCGGCCTCTAGTGGTCACTGCAACATTTCAGGAGTTTAAAAAAAACATTATGACGTCAAAGCAACGTGCAGCAAAGCATAAAATATCTATGTCCCAACAAACATAATCCCGAATAACTCTATAGTTTGTTGTATACACATTTGGAAATACGATTTGTTTAAAAAAAAAACTAGTAAAAAAAAAACTCAGAGGTATAAGTTTCTCCTAAATGTTTTAAACTTCATTTTTACAATGTTGATTATGAATAACAGTCTGACATTTACAGGTCTAGATTCACAACATAGATTTTTATCACAGACACAGTTAAGAAACCGCATATTGTTCTAAGCTGTGTAGCCCACAGGTTCTGATCTTTAAGGAAGATAAAAGTGGGGGAAATTTACTTTTGAGCAAGACATGAGTAAGTAGGCTTTAGACCCTCATTTATCGTAAACGACACTAAATCCTGTAGCTGTCGACACAAGAACCATTGCTTTGATTTCAATTATACAGCTTTACAGAATGAGAATGACTGAACACAGACTAGAGTAGATTGTGTGTAAAACCTGTCACTATTCTACCCGGGCATGTGGGAGCTTAGATCTGGAAAACATGTGACATTTATTAAAACATGTTAACTGAACGGAGGCGTGAACTTCCTGTGTTTACATTTAGCCCTATGATTATGCCCCAAAGAGGAACAAGCTCGAGGACCGTTCAAGTCAAGTCAGCACAAATGCCAACCAAAGGGAAATTAAAAGAGTATTACTGGAACTAGCATCTGTCTATTTTTAAGTCACATTTGCTTCATCAACTGACTATGTGACAAATGAATAGGTAATTTGCAAAAAATAGAAATCGCAGTTTTGAAAAATTGTCAAAATCTTGTATTCCTCTTGCTACAATCTTCAACATGTTTTGGTATTGGCCTGAAATCTGAAAGGATTCACTCAAGAAGGGGTGAAACCTTATTTGTATAGCACTAAATTTAATCTGAATATTCAATAAAAATACGGTAAAGAGCAAATTGTCAGCCTTTCCGAATATTTTCTAATGGCACTGATCTGATTCTGCAAATGAACTATTCCAATACTCTCAATAGGACGACCAAAAACATTGAAATTGGCGGGTAACGTCATCTGTAATTATGTGTTGTGCGTCTTCCTCTTCAACTCTTTTCATAATTTCAAGATTTTATATTTTTACTAGAAAACTCGTATTTTGATTGCCCTTGTAAAAAGTAAAAATGAAACAGAACATAGACAGAATGCTGTAAAATAAAAATTATGTTCATGCCATTTTTAACACATTGTTTGAAAGCAAAAATACTGGACCAAATACAAGAAGCAAATATGTGAGGAAAAAAAGGGCTGTGTAAAAATAATATAGATAATAATTGTATATATATGATAATTATTGACCAATGGGATCAATCTGAGCAGATGCTTTAGTTTTTAGAGGATTTTACAATACAATCTCCAGTTCATGTGCATTGAGCTGTACAGAAGTCTCCACCCCTATGTGACTATACACGTGTTTCCTTCTGTCTCAGCGTAAAAAAGGTGAAGCAGCATGCTGAGGAGACACAGATATTTACTTCAGCTGCAGCATGTCGACTTTGGGATCACTGTGCAATCTGACCAACTTTCTATCCATCTTCACTTTAGGTATGTCTACATTCAAATATATATTACACATCATACTGTCTATACATACAGGGGCTTGCACAAGTACTGATTCAACTCCCACATTTGCTAATTTTGTTGTGTTTTCAACCACAAACAAAAGTTTTATTTTAGGTGTACTTTAGACAGCAAAGTAACATACAACTGTAAGGTGACAGGTAAAGGAGATTTCTTTGTGCTGAAAAGTGAGGCTAATACTTCTTGTTGTAACTGCAGCAGCAACAGCAAGTATTTTGGGGGTAAAATGCTACAAGCTTTACCCATTCATCTTTACAATCCAACTCAAACTCTGTCAGTTTAGATTGAGAGTGTTTGTGGAAAAACATTATCAGGGCTTTCTACAACTTTTCAATTGAACACATAGGTTTTCATAGATGTGTAAGCCCCAATTTCCCACTGGGTTTAGAGCTATGTGTCTACTAACTGTTGATTCTCTGATCTGTGTGTTGGTGATTTCAATGGTTAATGTTTAGTCTCTGAGATAACTTCTGTGGTGATTTAGGGCTATACAAGAATACATTGTATTGTATTGTAATTAGTGAGGGTTAAACTAAAGTGTGGACCAAATCCTCATATTCCAGAACTCTGTGAGTTGGGTCATAATAGAAGCAGACAGAAGAACAACATTTTTACCATAATTTATTCTGTGCGCTGTCTCCCATCAGTCCCTTGTATTCCAGAACCAAGTGTCCATCAGCAGAACAAACACTGAACCGGGCCTGGGGTCAGGTCACAGATTCCTATACCACACATTCACCTCGAGATCGCAGGAGCTAGAGTTGATCCAGATGTCAGAGTGGCCACAGTGAAACCGAAGCGACAATACACAGAAAGTATATTTGCATTAATGGTTTTTGGCAAATCATTCATCCATTTGTGAAACAGGACTCACCGCACAGAGACAGAAGACAATCACATGTATCTGACACGTTTATAAAACTCCAAAGAGACACAAGCAAGTTACAAGAGAATAATAGTGGCCCCTGATCTGTCTGACGCCTCTAGTGCACACTGGGGTAGTCTTGCACAGTTTTTCCAATGTGGTTTTACTGCAATTGGCAAATAAATTCTTGAATCTTGAATCTAATACATTGAAAGACATATACTGTTCAATTGTTGGTCTTGTTTAAATGTTCATGCAGTACACTTGATTTTGTTCATAGTGAATTTACATTTTTGGCTGACTCACATAAAACATCGCCGACCCCAGATTCCTCGCACACTGCTAACTGTAAAAACTAAAATGTGCCCTTGTGTAAATACATTTTCTGTAGATTTCCGCAAACAAATAGGATTTTACATACATTAAACTGTGCTGTTGCAATAATGGTAGCTCTGACTTCTCACGTATTGTTTTTTCTTGTGTTTATATTTATCGGATGTTTGTACTGTGAACAAAGACAGTGCAAAATAAAGTGCACTTTATTTGCAAACATATTTTTGAAACCTTTTTTTGTAGTTTATTTACCTATAAAAATCCATATTAAAAATTGTATAAAAAAATCTGTAAATCCAGGAAGTATTCAATAAAATATGTATTATACTTTGTTCGTCATTTGTCTAACATGTGTTTTCATGTTAATGGAATTTGTAATTTGTTAATGGAAGAGAGAGTTCAGATAAGCCCTGTTAGAATGTGACTATAGAAAACATATGAAACACTTTTCTTTTCGACAGAGAGACACAGCATCTGTCAGGCTGTACATAAAAATAAAAATAAATCCTATTTCAGTTTGACAGTGTTTTGTGAGCACCACGTCACAGCATACAGTAGATATGCAGCTAAAATGCTGGTGCTGAGTCCAAACTTCAGGTATGTGAGGTGATCGTTCTTTTAAGAAATGAAAGTGCGCCTCTTGAAAGTGGTCTGCAATCTATGAGGAACTCTCTTTTTTCTAGTTTTCCAGTGTGGTCTAATTTGTATTCCTCCTCACTGTTTTTAGCTTTTTATTTCAAAAATCTTCAGTCTTTCATCCTTTTTCTGCCCCTTTATTGCAATGAGAGCTGCAACCAGTCCATTGCTGATCCTCCGGCAGGTGGTGGGTCCAGAGGAACATGGCTGCTGCTCCGTCATGGAAGACACGGCTTTGGAGTTTCAGCGTGAGCTTCGGGCAAAGTGGGGTTACGTATCTTGCTCATTGACACAACGACAGCAGACATCAGTGGGAGCAGTTGGAGAAGGTCTCGTGGGGGGATCGAACCCACAACCTTCAGACCCAAAAGCCAATACTTTACCAACTGTCGCCCCCTGAATGAAAATGTGATTGCGTAAATGAACCGTTCAGAATGTCGTGGATAAATCAAAGAGGGAGCTGGAGCTAAACTGTCCGACATCGCTCTGGCCCGGTTTGGTTTCACCCACATCGTCTTGTATCAATCTCTCTCTGGCTTTTTGAGTCATAGAGGGGCTGCTCTGAAACGTCAGAAGTTGCTGAAACATTTCCATAGTCGTGTATCCGCAGGTGAAAGCGGTTTGAGGACTGAGAAGTGATTTCAGCGGTGTGTCTGAGTCTCGTACTGACGCTCTCGTACAGACTTTGCTCTCTGCGGTGACGAGATGCGGAACACTGACCGTCGCTTGTTCTTTGATAATCAGCAGTTCATTTGTGTGCCACTCTTCCACTTGCAAAGTTTGAAGCATCTTGAGTTGTTCCTAAGGGCAAAAATACATACAGTATAAAACATTACCCTTCAAGCACCAGAGGTTTTCTTAATTTCTATGGCTATAACTAAAATGTGATGGGAGATAGAGGCTTTCTGTAAATCAGAGAAATATCAAGGATGGCCCAAAGTTTAAGCAGGGATAAAATTTACCCATCTAATTTGCATATTACAACGTTTTAATCTTGTTTTATTTATGTGCTTGTCTCGTGCATAATGGACTTTTGTGAGTGTACAGTATTCCAATGTGGTTTTACTACGAACGGCAAATACAATGAATATGAATCTGTCATATGGCGGTGGCAATCATGGATTTTAGAATTTACATGACTTTTTTTTCTTTTTCTTTTTTAATAACAGACATACGAATCCTTAGGACATGAACACACAAACAGAGCTCACAGGGAAATAGTAAAAAAGTGAAAATCGTTACTGCTCCAATTGTGAGCAGCGAATGCCAATTCTGCATTTTCCACAATCCGCCATTTTAAAACAGTACCACATCTTGTCGACTTAAAAGAACCACTAAACACCAAATCAACTTTTTTAAAACTTGCATAAAACTGGAGTACCTGGAGGAAACTGCATAAATATGTTTCAACCGCGGCGCCTAGAGGGTTAATAATATCAGATACTCACAATCTCCCTGGAGTTCTCCATTTTTTGTATAGCATTGCTGTTCTCTGGATTTGGAAGGCTTGGCCAAAGAACTGCTTTCATTCTACAGATTTAAAGACATAAATTACAATTATAAATTATAAATAAAAAATGAGCTTGCACATTTATGTTTATATGAACTTACCTTTTTACTATTGAACACGCCACCACCAGCAGGACGATTGCAGCAACAAAGATCATTATAATCACTGTGTCTTTCATATACACTTTGTGGGGAAATTTAAATAAAAGAACATTTAACTATTATATATATTATTACAATCTCCATCATCATTTGTTCATTACTTGTTCTAACCTTGTGTACATGTCTGAAAAATGCCTTTGATGCTTCTTACTCCTGTTCCAGCCCGAGTGAAACCTGAAATCTCAACATTGTATCCGGTGCCTGGTTTGAGGTCTTCGATCACATAACTGGTCGTCTCTGCACCTACATAAGCAACTGTCGTAAAACGTTAAAATAAAGTAGTCAAATGTAGATGCAAAAAGAAACAGGCAAACTGTTACGACACCTTTCTCTGCTGCTGACGTGTCTCTGCTGCTGTATTCTTTGTAGTAAATGATATAGCCCAAGAGAAAGCCTCTGAGGTCGTCTTCTGGGATGGGAGACCACGTCAGCACCAACGAACTGGACGTTACATTATTATAGCTGATGTTTGTAGGGGGACTGATGGGAGCTGCAGGGAGTTGACGAATAGTTAGAGCAGGCATGTCAAACTCAGGCTAAATCTGTGGGCTAAACCCGACTTGCTAGAACATTTTTAGTGGCCCCTGAAATTATCTTTATCACAGTAACTTGCCGCATTGATGGTAAAGGTATACTATGACATGTTACACTTAATTTCAAAGTCCCCTATCTCAAGAAAACCATTGAATAAAAAGTTAACTAAAATGTAATTAGAAGTTATAGTAACTTTTTTCTGTTAACAGTCCTCAGAATCTCTTTGTTATATTTTGCCCAGTTGTGGTTGAATCTAGCTTGGTCTTACCATACTGGATTTGCTCCATTGAGCTCAGTTGACAACTGGGAGGGATTAACTCTTTTTGCAGAGTGAAACGATTGGATCCGAGTTTACCGTGATGCGCCCGAGTGAGTGAGACATTTAGCATTTAGCCTAGCTTTAGCCATCTCCTTTGCCACTTACAGAGCCCGTGGGGAGTAGAGCCACAACATCTTTGCCAGCAATGATATTTGCTAAACCCTCTTGCTCCGGCTTCAATTTCTTGATATTTGGAGCCGAACTATTGCATTCGCCGCCATGGCCAAACTACAATCAGCGAATTTGGCGCAAAATCATGACGTCACCGACATCCGCCCACAGCACCCGCCTCCCCCGCTCGCTGAATGGTCGGATGGGATACCGATACAACCGAGATACAGATTCATTTATTTGCCATTTGCAGTAAAACCACATTGGAAAAACTGTGCAAGACTACCCCAGTGTGCACCACTTGTCTGGAGTTTACAGATGGCTAAGTCTGGGCTAGGTTGAATCCAAAGCTACTAGAAAATAATATCCAAACTCCTGTCAAATAAAATGAATTACTATGTACCACTTATACTTCTGGCCCCCAACAGCTTTTAATTGGTTTAATTTCCCCCCCAACCAAAATGAGTTTGACACCCCTGAGTTAGAATAATAAAGTTATTGTCAGTAGCTCCACTTTCTACTTACTTCCTTCCTTGTAGTAGAACTGCACACTTCCATATGTGCTCTCGCTGCCGTTCACATGCTTCAGTTCGCAGGTCTCTTTCTTCGGCCTCGTGTGTAGATAAAGCATGTACCTCTTGTATGGCTTCAAAGATTCTAATCATTCAACATTTAAGTTCCATTCATTTACAAAAGCCAAATCTGAACGTTCTGTACATATCTGTTAAATTCTGTTCATACCTGTTAAGTTCACCGTCTTGTTACTTGCTACGTCCTCAAAGAATGATAAATATTCAGTTTTATGTTGATTTTTCCGACTCCAAAGTATACATTTTTATTTTTTATTGATTATTTGGTCGTGACAGTGCACGTTAATGAACACACCTCTCTGGATTGTAGCCTTGGGATAATTTAACAAACACACACTCATTCACCCTGATTGTACATGTTTTTGGTGATAGAGGAAACCGTAGCACCCCGAGGAAATCGAAAAATCATTATTACTTTTGTGTGTGTGTCTTTTAAAATATTTGTAAATGTTCGTGTGAAGCACTTTGGGTTGCACTGCATAGTTGTGCTTTATAAATAAACATGATTGATTGTTACAGCGGCATTCTGGACGGATACTTGCACTTGTTTAACGGCGTCACAGTTTTTCTATGTTTCGGGTGAGAACTGGAGAAACGCTGACATTGTTTGAAGGCGCTGATGTGGACCGTAAACGCCGAGCAGACAGATGAAGTGAGATCGCACCCTCACACTTGGTGTTAAATTGGTTTTAGGGCGGCTCTCCGGAGGCTTTTTGAACGTTTATGAAATATCCATCGAGCTTATCAATCTCCACAGTCTGAAAAATACAGATTCATAAAATTCAGAAATATTTAACAGTATAACGATTAACTTGCAATATAAATAAAATGTTGTATTTATTATTATTATTATATTATTATTGTTATTAACTTTGCGGATGTGAGTTAGTGTCCTTACCTGCCAAGTGAAGTTGTCACCAAAAAAAAACGAATTCCTTTGCAGTTGGATGGTTCGTATTTTCAAGATGGATGAGAGTAGGTTTTGTTTTCAGTTCTAAAAAGGAAGAATGTAATGAATGTAAAGAGATCCTTTACTTCGTCCCACAGTGGGGAAATTTCAGTTGTTGCATCACCCGGTTACAGAACTGTAGGAATGAGGAGTTTTTAAGAGAACTATAACGCTATACTAAAAAAAGCATAATAAAATAATTAGCATAAATAAAGAAGCAAGTCAAAAATCCTCTGACTCAAGTCATTATAAAGAACAGTCTAATGTCTCTAACTTTAGCATAATAAAAAAAACAAGAATTGGTATAAAATTTCTGACTTTAGCATTAAAAAGTAAGCTAGTCTTAAATCTCTGACTTTAGCATAATAAAGAATCAAGTGTAGAATCTCTAACAATAGCATAATAAATAAGCTAGTCTAAAATCTGACTTCAGCATAATAAAGTAGCCAGAATTTAGTATAAAAATCTCTGACTTTAGCATATTAAATAAGCAAGTGTAAAATCTCTACCAATAATCATAAAAAAAGAAGCCAATCTAAAATCTCTAACTTTAAGCATCTCTGACTTTAGTATAAGAAAGAAGAAGCAGTGTCCTTTATTCGTCCCACAATGGGGAATTTCAGTTTGATGCATACACAATATAGTACATACATACAGTGCCTTGTGAAAGTAATTACGGCCCCCTTGAACCTTTCAACATTTCGCCACATTATCGCCAAACATTTCAGGCTCAAAGTGGAACGACTTTTTTAACAAATAAAGAAAAGTGGGGCGTGCAATATTATTTGGCCCCTTTACTTTCAGTTCAGTCCAAAGTTCAGTGAGGATCTTTGAATGATCCAATGTTGTCCTAAATGACTGATGATGATAAATAGAATGCACCTGTGTGTAATCAAGTCTCCGTATAAATGCACCTGCTCTTTGATAGTCTCAAGATTCTGTTTAAAGCGCAGAGAGAACCATGAAGACAAAGGAACACACCAGGCAGGTCCAAGATACTGTTGTGGAGAAGTTTAAAGCCGAATTTGGATACAAAAAGATTTCCCAAGCTTTAAACATCTCAAGGAGCACTGTGCAAGCAATTATATTGAAATGGTAGTGAATGGACTGCCACTCCCCCTTGGACTGCCACCTTAACGTGGTGGGGGAGATTGAGCACTCGGATGATCCTGGGAGCTATGCTGTCTGGGGCTTCATGCCCCTGGTAGGGTCTCCCATGGCAGACAGGTCTCAAGTGACGAGTCAGACGAAGCGCAGTCCGAAGCCAACCATGGACAGCACGACAACGAAAACCGTGACGTCGCCCGGCATGGCGCAGCCGGGGCCCCACCTTGGAGCCAGGCCTGGGGTCGGGGCTCGCAAGCGAGCGCCTGGTGGCCGGGCCTTAGCCCACGGGGCCCGGACGGGCTCAGCCCGAAGGGATGACGTGGGCAGTCCCTCCTGTGGGCCCACCACCTGCAGAGGGGTCCGTGGTGGCGTGGTGCAGCGAGGACTGGGTAGCAGTCGAAGGCGGAGACCTCGACGACCCAGTCCACACACCCAACATCTGGCTCTTGGGATGTGGAACGTCACCTCACTGGGGGGGAAGGAGCCCGAGCTTGTGGGGGAGGTTGAGCGATACCGACTAGAGATAGTCGGCCTCACCTCCACACACAGCTTGGGCTCTGGAACCCAACTCCTTGAGAGGGGTTGGACGCTCCACTTTTCTGGTGTTTCCCGCGGGGAGAGGCGGCGAGCTGGGGTGGCCATACTCATTGCCCCCCATCTCAGCCGCCACGTGTTGGAGTTCTCCCCGGTGAATGAGAGGGTCGCGTCCCTCCGCCTCCGGGTGGGGGACAAGTCTCTCACTGTTGTGACGGCCTACGGGCCTAACGGTAGTGCAGAGTACCCGGCCTTCTTGGAGTCCTTGGGAGGGGTACTGGACAGTGCACCGCCCAGGGGACTCCGTTATTCTCCTGGGGGACTTCAACGCCCATGTGGGAAATGCCAGTGACACTTGGAGAGGGGTGATCGGGAAGAACGGCCCCCCTGATCTGAACCCGAGCGGTGTTCAGTTGTTGGACTTCTGTGCCAGTCACGGCCTGTCCATCACGAACACCATGTTCGAGCACAAGGGTGTCCATCAGTGCACGTGGCACCAGGACACCCTAGGCCGGAGGTCGATGATCGACTTTGTTGTCGTATCATCTGACCTTCGACCGCGTGTCTCGGACACTCGGGTGAAGAGAGGGGCGGAGCTGTCAACCGATCATCACCTGGTCGTGAGTTGGATCCGCTGGCAGGGCAGGAGGCCGGTCAGACCTGGCAGGCCCAAGCGTGTAGTGAGGGTTTGCTGGGAACGTCTTTGCTGAGCCCCCTGTCAGACGGACTTTCAACTCACACCTCCGGGAGAGCTTCTCCCAGGTCCCGGCAGAGGAGGGGGACATCGAGTCCGAGTGGACCATGTTCTCTTCCTCTATCGCCAATGCGGCGGCTCGTAGCTGTGGTCGCAAGGTCTCTGGTGCTGGTCCCGGCGGCAATCCCCGAACCCGGTGGTGGACACCGGCAGTAAGGGATGCCGTCAGGCTGAAGAAGGAGTCCTATCGAGCAATGATTGTTCGTGGGACTCCTGAGGCAGCTGTCCAGTACCGGCAGGCCAAACGTGCCGCGGCCCGGGCTGTTGCAGGGCAAAAACCCGGGACTGGGAGGAGTTCGGAGAGTCCATGGAGCATGACTATCGGTCGGCCTCGAAGAGGTTCTGGCAAACCGTCCGGCGCCTCAGGAGGGGGAAGCAGTTCTTTGCCAACACCGTGTATGGTGCGGGTGGAGGGCTGCTGACCTCGACTGGGGATATTGTCGGGCGGTGGAAGGAATACTTCGAGGTTCTCCTCAATCCCCCCGTCACGTCCTCCGTCCAGGAGGCAGAGGCTGAGGATGTTGGGGCGGACACTTCCATCTCCCTGGCCGAGGTCACCAAGGTGGTTGGCAGCCTCCATGGTGGCAAGGCGCCGGGAGTGGATGAGATCCGTCCTGACTATCTAAAGTCTCTGGATGTTGTAGGACTGTCTTGGCTGACACGTCTCTGCAGCATCGCGTGGCGATCGGGGGCGGTGCCAATGGAGTGGCAGACCGGGGTGGTGGTCCCTCTCTACAAGAAGGGGGACCGGAGGGTGTGTTCCAATTATCGTGGGATCACACTCCTCAGCCTTCCCGGTAAGGTCTACTCCAAGGTACTGGAGAGGAGGCTACGTCCGATGGTCGAATCTCGGATTCAGGAGGAGCAGTGTGGTTTTCGTCCCGGTCGCGGAACACTGGACCAGCTCTATACTCTCCATCGGATACTCGAGGGTTCATGGGAGTTCTCCCAACCTGTCCACATGTGCTTTGTGGATTTGGAGAAGGCGTTCGACCGTGTTCCCCGGGGTGTCCTTTGGGGGGTCCTCTGGGAGTAAGGGGTCCGGGGTCCTCTGCTGAGGGCCGTCCGGTCCCTGTATGACCGGAGTCAGAGCTGTGTTCGCATTGCCGGCAGTAAGTCAGACCTGTTCCCGGTGCATGTTGGCCTCCGCCAAGGCTGCCCTTTGTCACCGGTTCTGTTCACTGTATTTATGGACAGAATTTCTAGGCGCAGCCAGGGGCCGGAGGGGGTCCGGTTCGGGAACCACAGGATTTCATCTCTACTTTTGCGGATGATGTCGTCCTGCTGGCTCCAACGAACCAGGACCTGCAGCATGCACTGGGACGGTTTGCAGCCGAGTGCGAAGCGGCTGGGATGAGAATCAGCACCTCCAAATCCGAGGCCATGGTGCTCGACCGGAAAAAGGTGCCTTGCCCTCTCCAGGTGGGTGGAGAGGTCCTTCCTCAAGTGGAGGAGTTCAAGTATCTCGGGGTCTTGTTCACGAGTGAGGGAAGGATGGAGCGTGAGATTGACAGGCGGATCGGTGCAGCGTGCGCAGTGATGCGGTCTCTGTATCGGACCGTTGTGGTAAAGAGGGAGCTGAGCCGAAAGGCGAAGCTCTCGATTTACCGGTCAATCTTCGTTCCCTCCCTCACCTATGGTCATGAGCTGTGGGTAATGACCGAAAGAACGAGATCGCGGATACAAGCGGTCGAAAT